TATGGCTAGATGAAAGGTATCTTTCAAACCAAAAGAGTGGGGAGAGGAAGGGTAGTTTATCCATAAATAAATAAGGTTGGAGCAAGGTACTGAAAACTGATAAAGAGAACAGAAAGAACTACTTGAGAATATCCTCTTAATATCCCAGTCTTCAGATAGAGCAGTGTGGAGTAGCTTCTCAGACATCGACAGACATCATTTTGTAGGCCAAGAACAAATCAATCCTGCAAAGGGAAAACTAAATAACCAGAGAGTGAATGAATACAGCAGACAGCTATTCTTCCTCCCACTAACAGGTTTCCTCTCTTCTTAGATCTACTGGACAGTTCAGCACCCAAGTGACTGCCAGTGGAAAAAGCAACATAGTGTAAACTGAGAATTTAGCTCACAAATCCTCCGTTAGTGTAAACTGAGGTAGCACCAGTAAAGACGACGCAGCTAAACCAATCCACACCACCTAACAATCTCATTCTCCGTGCTTCTTCAGAATGAACTAAACATTTTGTAAATCTCTGGTGGTATTACATGCCTACAAAGGAACAAGACAAAGGAAACTATGTGCCATAAAATACATTTGTATCAACCGACCAGAATCATGTGCCCTTCCTTCCAGCCTTTATGGCAGCAATAAAACAGACCTCGCTTGCCAGTACTAAGTTTTCAAATGAAGTACACCATTCTGATTGCACAGCACTGCCTGGTCCCTCTTAGTATTTTAATTAATTAAGCCTGGAACACCATCTTTTTCCTTGAGCAATGCTGTTTCTTTCTGTAGGCCCATCTCCCAAAGCTGCTATTACCATAACAATATACTTGTAGGTCTTCCCATATTTCTACATGGATTCACATGCTGTTAAGAGGGAAGGCAAATGGCCTTTCCCCTTCCTCCTACCCCACCCCCATGCACCATTTGTGGGTCCATTTCCAACTCTATCCTGAAACCTCAGATTCAGTCAACATCCAGTGAAGAGTTAAAGAAAACAAGAGAACTCTGCCTTATCCCCAGATCCATGCATCTTTTGCCTCCATTTTGAAACCTGATTGGCTGAAGTCATAATCCATAAAGGTGTAGTTTGTCAGCTCCCAATTTTGCATTCACAGCCAGAGACTCCATCAGTTCAGAGCGTAATGGAGAGCTGTGCTGCCATATTCCTGCACTGCAGGAGAATATGGGACTTTCATAAATGTCCTGTCTCCTTTCACTCCCTCTCCTTCTAAACACGTCTTCAGTTCTGTAGCTTCTATTCCTAGGTTTCAGCCTTGCTCTTGTATCCAGCTCCACATGATCCTGTAGGATGCCAGTCACATAGACTGCAAAGTAGGGAGTACTCTGGCATCATTATTCATTATAATTATTGGGTTTTTGGCAAGACCAAAATCTAATATTTAATCTATTCTTAAATATATGCTTATAGGTAAGGAAGGAGAGCATTTAGGTAGATACTGTGGGCTCTCAGCATTTAAAAAAAACAAACACGAAAACATTCCTGTAGTAGGTCCACTACTTCTTACATACCGAGAACACATCAATTAAATATTCAGAGATAGAGCTGGTTACATGAGTCAAGGATAAAACTTTTACTTCATTTAATCTCATTAGCTCCATAGACCCACTACACATTAAAAAAAAAAGAGCTGGCCTATATTCTAGTTTATTAAATATTTTTGGTCACTATACAGTCCAAATTGGAGGCCAAATTCTTGCCCTTCCTCATATATGTATTATCCTGATAAAGAGGGCCTCGTGAGCTTTCTACAGTCATAATTTGTGGCCTAGGTATGGAATGCCAGATTTGTGAAAAACTGCCTGCCTTAATTTGCAATATAAATATATTATACTGGTGTAACCCAGGCGGTACTCCAAGAGGTACCCCCTCTCCAATTAAAGGGATCAAAGCAGGTGCACAAGCGCTGTGGGAGGTGTAGGGACTCTCCTTCCCTACAGAGCAGAGCCAGACCACCAATGGGGACTTAACCATATACCTTTTACTACTGGGAACATAACAGGCATAAATCAGAGGGTATAGTGGACACTACAATGCCTCAAGGGGGGCAGGATTCAACAAAGGTCAGACACTTACAATCACTGACAAAACCAGGGTTAACAAAACATAAAACTCAAAGAGCAGAACAAACAATACGGGTTGGTGAAATATACGAAGGGCACAAAATGCAAAACGTCAAATGCCAAGAAAACATAGGGCCTTGGTACCTGGAGGGGGAGAAAGGGGGGAAAACATAATGGCCCCTTTCCACTGCAAGAAGATTTGCTTCTTGTTAACTCACTCACCCCAAGTCACCTCAGCTGGGATGTGAACCTAGATCTCCCACATGGTCGGCAGGAATGCTGCTACACAGCCACCACTGCTCCAGCCTGCTAGGGGTCTTGACCCTCCCAGAGCCCTGGCCTCACATTGAGTTGCCTGGCCTCTGATTGGAGGAGCTGGAAGCAGAGCTAGGAACCCCTCAAGTCACTGCTCAGATCCTTTCTGGAGCTGGGGCGCCTCTCCTGCTGGCTGTAGCCTCTCCTTGGGGATCCTGGAGCCCAGTAGGGAGCCTTTCCTGCTGGCCGCACGCTGCGCTGCTGAGGGTCCCACTGCTGCCTGCAGATCCTGCTCTTTCAGGCTCTTCCAGGGCACTGCTCCTACCCCACTGGCTCAGCTCTGTGAAGCTCCTTCTTTGTTGTCCCCCACTGGTCTCTCCCCTGCATCAGGCCACGCTGCCCCTTTTATCCCTCTCCAGGTGACCCAAGGGGCCAATCGGGACACGGTGGGGTGAGTCTTTGGGGCCTGACTGGTGCAGAAAGGGAATCCCAAGTCCTCCAATCATCTTTTACCCCTTCAAAACCCCTGGGCCAGGTCACTGCCAACCAGCCCGTCACACTGGTTAACGTTTTTAAAATACATTTAGCTTTTTAGGAAAATAAACATGCAACAAATGACTGAGGAGTCTCGGTAAGACATTGAACAACTGAAATCAGGGAAGTATTCAAAGGGCAAAACAGAGGTAGTGCACACCTTTACTTTACCCAGGTAAACAAACTAAGACTTTGTACCATGCAGAATACTAAGTTATAAACAAGTCCTGATGACATCATGTTACCATCCTGAGACTTATTATTTATTTAAGATGCTTTCTAGAACCCCTGATTAGGGTCTTTATTATATTCATATTTTTATGATATACCTATATGCATCTCACTGTGGTTGAAAGAATTTTCAATAATAACAGAGCAAATTAATATCCAGGATCCTGCTAGTTTTTTTAATGTGAAGAATATTTTTGTGCAACCCCTTAAATGCTTTGGAAGAATATTGAAGTGAATAAAGACAAATGTGTTAATCTTTGACAATACTGAATCCTATCTAAGGAATCAGAACTCCTAGCAGAGGTGATATCTTTTATTAGACCAACTAGATAGTTGCAAAACAATTTCTCTTATTTGAAAGCTTTTGGGCACACAGACCCTTCTTCAGGCATAAGAGAATGCAAAGATTGTAAAATTTCTCCTAGGTGGAAGTGGAAATTCATATGTCCCAGGAGATGTATGATTTTTCATTTCCACCTAGGAGACATTTTACAATCTTTGCATTCTCCTTTGCCTGAAGAAGAGTGTGTGCACCCAAAAGCTTGCAAATGAAGACTTTTTTTTTGCAAGTATCTAGTTGGTCTAATAAAAGATACCGCCTCTGCTACAAGTTCTGATTCTTTTTGCCTGTAGACCAATATGGCTACAACCTGTATCCCTGAATCCTACCTAATGCACATGCTAAATATTCAAGCAAGTTCAGCCCAGTGAATTGCAGCAGAGCTAAATAAACGCACCATGAGGTTGAGTTACCAAGGTAGGAGTGACAATTGCCTGGTGAAAGGACAATTTACAGTAAGTAAAATCCAAGTGGTTTACAGGAAATATTTTCAGAAGCTATTATCAGAGCTACTTTAAAATATATCTGCCTTGCTTATATTAAAGTATATACAGACTTTTGCCACAAAGCACGTGGCCTGAAGGACGCTACTTTTCCAGGCAACCACAGTTGTTAAACTTGGCTCTCCAGAAGCTGTCTTGATGCCATCAGCAACTCATGTTTTCTTTTGTGGGGTGGAGGCTGGGGAATATTCTCATTTTGTAGGGAAGAAAATGAAATAAAGGGGGGCACTTCATTTTTTCATGTAAGAAGTCAGATACATATATGGCTCTGTAAGTATTAAATGATACTGTTTCCAATGACCATGCATCTGACTGATGCATGATGATTTAAAATTGCAGTAGGTGCTGGGATATTTAAAAGGTACCAACAAAAAACAATTGCTGAAAAAAAATTTGCAAAGCATGATACCTTGGCATGGCAGTGCAAGCCCTTCATATTAAAAGAAAAGTAGCACAATCATAGTAATCTTTATCAGTCAGAAGTTCTTGCTGTACTGGATTTCCACAGAACTGAAAGCAAAGTCATCAGTAACAATGGGTGCTTTATTTTTCCTGCACAATTGCTGCCAAAGCAGTCCTGGGACTTCCATGAGACTGCTGTGAATATGTTGGAGTGGGATGAACCTGGCAAAACACTGTTAAACTGCGCTAGCTGTATGGCTGCACTAACCAACAATTTCAGTGCAGGGCTGAAAAAGAAAAATTATTTTCTGTGGCTGCATCTACATGTTCAGCAGACTGCGCGGTTGTTATTGCACAGTCATTTAGTACTAAATGACTGCATAGTAAGTGGCATTACTGCACAGTACTGTTGCCACACATTTTTTTCCCCCAGTGCTACTCTGCAGTAGCAAGAAGCTACTACTCAGTAGCTCATTGCTACTACGCAGTGGCATTGCCGCACAGTGCCTGGCAGTGCTACTGTGTGGTAGCAATGAGCTACAGTTCAGTAGCTCATTGCTCCTGCACCATCGTGTCTTGTGTAGACGCACCATAGACAGAAATAGAACTGGTTAACCTCACAATATTGTTGAGTAAAGGCTCATGATTGTTGTTCTACTCCCTAGAGGCATCAAAGAAGATATCATTTCTACTGTTAATGACAGTGTATTGAGATCTGAGATCAGGATTGCAGTCTCTTTGGACCCTACCCCACATCCCTCAAAAACTTTACTGAAGTTGATCTGAATTTAAGGTGAGCAAGGAATGCAAGAACAAGTCCTTCCCTATGGTTTTCAATTTACTGTAACAGAGGCCTAGGGAAGAAATGTTCACTGTTAAACTTAAGTGTGCATCATCTTGTGTAGTCTTTCCAATGAGACTCAGTCTCCTAGACTTCCTTATGAAATGCTTCCTTCTGCTGCTCCAAGGCAAAGCATGGGAATCTGTAACAATTTTTTATGCAAAAGGGTAGAAATTTAAGACTTACTTTTTTCAGAAACTGTATAAACTCCCTTCCTTGGAAACTGGTGATGTGAAGCCTCTCAGCTGCAGAAATAGATATAGAGTTGGTAAACATAGTGGAAGAGAAATCTATGGTCTTTTCAGCATCCTACTGAAGTGCCCTAAAACTGAGGTCTTCCTAATGTGGGCTCTCACCGCAAGTCTGTGGCACCACATACTGCATGTTCAGTTGATCTCCATGCTGCAAGGGAGCAGGGCAGGATTTTTTCTGACCCCTGGATATCCAGGGGTCAAAAAAACCCACAGGAAAAAAAGCGGAGTGGTGCATGGCAGGGAAGTGTGTGCCGCTCAGAACTGGAGACTGGCTGGCCAGAGCCACACTGCAACTGCTAGCCAGGCTCCGTGCAGCAGGATCAGCACTGCTGCAGCCCTGGGAGGCCCCCAGGACCCAAGATAAGGCGGCTGGGGCTAGCCCAGTGCCTCCCTTACCCATAACTTACTGCACACCAGGGGGCATGTGGCACAGGTATTCCCTGGAGACAACTAGTGGCAGCACAAGGTGCACCGCTGCTAGTTGTCCCCAGGGAAGCAAATGTCCACACACGTGTGGACATGGCCTGGGAGGATTGCTGGCATATGACTCACTAAAGAATGAATTACACTGAAGAGTGGAAGTGAATTATGCCTACCTATCATTTTCTAAACAGTGACAGTACTTGCAGCTCCTATAGGAAAGTTTACAAGCCTCTCCTACATTATATTATTAAGCACTACTTTACAGAGCTCCTAATACTTAAGCAGCTTTGCAGAAGGTAGGGCAGATTGCCACCTTAGGGCATTAATAGACATGCTCTGGGGGGGAAGGGGCACTTTAATTAGCAAGCCTGGCTAATTAAAAGATCCCGAGCTTCACATCTATCAGCATGCTCGTGCTGAAAAAATGGTGGTGGGGTGATTTGAACTAAAGCTTGTTTAATCAAAGCACCCGCCACCATTTTTCAGTGCGGGGATGCTGATACGTTTACATTTGACACTGGAGGCTGCTAGAGCATGTTAATTTCCCTGCTCCAACAGACTTGATTAATCGAGTCTGCTCTGATGCACTGGATTTACAACAGGGGCAGGAAAAATACGGCCCGTGTGCCAGATCCATCCCACCAGACCATTCTATCCAGCCTGCGGAGCAGCTAAAAAATTTAGAAAATTAATATTTATCTGCCCCTGGCTTCCGCTCAAAAATTACAAGGCGCCAGGGGGAGCCGGTGGTAGGACCCAGCAGCTGCAGAAGCAAGGCGTACCCGTCCCTGTCCCACCCCCACCAACCCCACAGCTGGTGGTCACCCCTGATAAACTTATAGGTGGCCA